AATGGCCAGTCCTTGGACCCTCCCCGATATCCATGCTGTTCTTCAACTCCCTTCTGATTTGAGGTCTTAGCAGTTTCTGTGATTTTTTTTGTCTTATTGCAAGAATTATGGGGTTATTTGTGAAATCATGATAGCTTTCACAGCTTTTAAAATGTACTTCTTGCCCTGGCCAGTTTGGCTCAGCGGTTAGAGCGTCGGCCTGCGGTCTGGAGAGACCCGGATTCGGTTCCCGCTAAGGGCACGTACTTCGGTTGCAGTTTGTCCCCGGCCCTGGTTGGTCGTCCGGGTGGCAGCCACTCGATGTGTCCCTTCATGTCGATGTTTCTCTCTCTCTCCTTCCTCTCTCTCCCTCCCACTCTATGTGTACAAAAAATGGAAAAATGTCCTCGGGTGAGGATAAAAATAATAATAAAAATAAATAAATAAATAAATAAATAAATAAATAAATAAATAAATAAATAAAATGTACTTCTTGTTCCTTAGGCTCCCTTGGTCTCTCATAGGAGTGTGCTTATTGCAGCTTACAGTCCAGTCTTATTTAGTTATTATATTTGAAATCATCACCCAAGGACATGTTGACTGATTTTAGATAGAGAGGAAGGGGAAGGGGAAGGGGAGGGAAGAGAGAGAGAGAGAAACATTGACTAGCCATCTTCCGCATGCTCCCCGACTGGGAATGAAACCCACAACCCTTTGGTGTACAGGATGATGCTCCAACCAATAGAGCCACCCAGCCAGGGCAAGTTTAATTTTATTCATTTTTAAGTGTATTGGTGTTTTAATTTGACCTTTCCAGTGAAAAACAGAATTTTAGGGCTGAATGATACCTTAGAAGTTTTATCTTCATATTCCCTCAGTTATATTATCAATCACATCAATACCTGTTAAAGGACTTAAAAGGTTACAGGCATTTATTGTACGATCACAGCTCTATAAGCATTTATTGGCTTCATGGATGATTCTAGTCTAATACTTGGTGATAGGTAAAGTGTGTACATAATGTAATTCTGTACATTCTTTGTTTCTTTAGTAACACCCAACACTTTCTTTTCCTGTTTACCACACCCAGATTTCATTTTACCTGCTTACATGGAGTCCTCCCATGCACTCATGCGTAGAATTGTTGCTATGTTTATTGCTCATGGAATCCATGTTAAATTTCAGCAGGTTTTTTTCCTTCTACATCTGCCTCTTTGATGGTAGCTGGATTTACTGCTGCTCACTTATTAGTGCCCTGGGTCTTAACAACCTTATTCAAACAAAACATCTTAAATGGAGGCATTAAAAAGGTCACAACAGTGAGCCATTTTGTAACTTTTGATGCAATAAAATGCGTACGTTGTATTTGGAATATAAGACCTCTGAGCACAGCTATGCGTTTTCTTCATCTATAAAACACTTTAGAATAACAGCTTACATCTGTTTGGGGTTTTAAATTCCCCGTCTTGAAGAGACATCACTGTTGTGTCATTCCAGAGCAGACGTGGCGAGGGCACTGGCGACTGGAAGCTGGGAGAGGTTTGTGCGAGCTGTGGAGCCACGTTTGCTGGCCGCCTCCACATGTGGGGAACACATTGCACTGTTGTTTCTCCGTGTGGTAAAAGACAAGATGCATTCAGCATGATTTAGGCTTGAAGAACATTTGAAAATTTTCACACAACAGTAGTTTATCTTAGGAGGGATGTTTTACTACCAGAAACCAGAAGTCAATTTCATTACTTAAACATTTACAGCACATTTAATTACCTTAGACTGTCAGTTAATCTTGTTTTAGAGAATAGAGTCGGGATTTACTATGGGCCCACTTTAAAAACTATATACCCAATGGAATAGTTTGGCCATTTCAAATGTGTGATTTTTAAATTATTTCTTTAAATTAAAGAAACAATTTAATGAATAATGTTTAATAGAAAATGGGCAGAATGTTCATCTTTGGGATTCAGAATCTAATACAGGGTGGGGCAAAAGTAGGTTTACAGTTGTTCGTATGGAAAATAATGCAGTAATTAATGTATAACAATATAAGAATAAACTGTTTTGCGTGCTCACAACTGTAAACCTACTTTTGCCTCACCCTGTATTATGTATTAAGTACCCAAAAAGCGCAGATATCATACAATCCAATTTTATGGGTTATTTTTATCAAGAAGTGAAGAACGTGCCCTGGCCGGTTTGGCTCAGCAGTTACAGTGTCGGCCGGAAGACTGAAGAGTCGCGGGTTCGATTCTGGCCAAGGGCACGTACCTCGGTTGTGGTTCGGAACCCACCCTGGTTGGGGTTGTGCGGGAAGCAACCAGGTGATGGGTCTCTCTCACATTGATGTTTTTCTCTCTCTCCCTTCCTCCATCCCTCCTACTGTCTCTGAAGGTAAATGGAAAAAAATATCCTTGGGTGAAGATTAAAAAAAAAAAAGAAGTGAAGAATGCTGGCATGCAGGCATGCACAGTTATAAGGGCTTTTCATCTTATAAATGTGAAAAATTTACATTCTTGTTAAAATGTGATACATTTGCACCTGGGAGGAAAGAGTATCAAGAAGATTAAAATCATCTGTAACCCCACTGCCTGTTGTCCTCTTGGCTATTTTATTATGTATTGTGTATTTTTTAAAATTAGGGTTTGGGTAATTAATATCATTAGAAATACATTAGTTTCAGAATGGACAGTGTCAGAAGCTTTCATGGTGTTTGACAAAACTAAACTAAATTGGACTTTTATTGCGGCACTTGGCACGGCGTGGGGGGAGATGACAGACTTCTCTGACATCTCTAGTTTGTCAGTTTCAACTGATCTGTTGGCGTAGATTGTTTTCCTCATTGCCGTTTCCTGTTTGAATGGAAGACAGGTTTTCTTTCTGTAGCCACTGTCAAGCCCAGGGCCACCGTTGGTTCCCACACGGTAAGAGAGATTATGTTAGATTCTTAGTTTCTGAATAAATATAAACATTTTATAAGTAATTTAATGCCTTTAATTCATGAGCCATTAATTGCTTCAAAGCTGTGGTCTCACACACACATACACGCACTCACATGCATGCACTCACACACACGCATTCACATGTACACACACTGACACATTCACCTGCACATGCCCATACTGTTAATGTTCAGAGTACACATTTACTTTGCGCTCGCAGGTGAGCTGAGTGCAGAAGAGCTCGTGAGCAGCGCATCCCCGGTACAGGCCCATGGCTCAGAGGGTGGATATACATAGGCTGGTGGATTGGTCCACTAGAGTCCAGGGGCTTTTATTTTACAAAATATGGAGGTGGAGTTCTATTTGTAGAATTTTGGGAAGTTCAATTAAAAGCAAATAGATAAGCCAGGCTGGTGTTGCCCGGTAGTTGAGCATTGACCCATGCACCAAGAGGTCGCTGGTTTGATTCTCGGTCAGGACACATGCCCAGGTTGTGGGCCCAATCCCCAGTGGGGGGCATGCAGGAGGTGGCCAATCGATGTTCTCTCATTGATGTTTCTCTCCCTTCCTCTCTCTCTAAAATCAATAAAGGAAAAAATTTTAAAGCAAATTATACTGAGGGTGAATGTACTCTATGCAGATAAACGCACTTAGATGTTTTAGGTAGGGTACTAGAAGGGCTCTGGAGTCAGATAGTCTGGCTTCTTAATTCTAACTGTGCCTTCAAGCAAGTCACACAGCTTCTCTGAACCTCCATTTCCTCATCTATAGATCGGAGTTGTAATAAGACCTGTCTTATAGGGTTGTGAGGGTTCAGTGGAGTAAAACATATGAAGTACTTATTAGCACAGAGTCTGACACATGAAAAGTGGCTTATTGTGATACAACTAATTGTTAATACTTATTATGTAAGTGTGGTGGTTATGTCCACCATCCATACTTCATTCCTCTGGAACACTCATCTCTTTGCTGCTCTTGTGTGTGCTTCAGGCGCTCAGAGCCCCTCCTTCAACGTGGATAAGCTGTACTTCCCTGGGGGTGCAGACTTACCCCGTCCATGCTCTGTTTTACTCCTGCCAATGGCTCTGTCTCCTTTTCTGTCCTGTCTCCCTCCACCTGCCGTGCCCTCTCTACCTTTCCTCCTCTCCCTCTGCTCTCCCTCTCCTTTCCTTCCTTCTCCCCCATTGCTCCCTCCCTCCGTCTTCTCTCCTCCCTCTCTCTCTCCCCCTCTTCTTTCCCCGTCTTCTCTCTCTGCCCCTCCTATCATCTCTTTTCACCCCTCCTCTTTCTTCTTTTCCCTTCTCCCCTTTCTTTCTTTATTTTTATTTTTTTGTTAATCCTCAGTGGAGGATATTTTTTCCATTGATTTTTAGAGAGGGAGGGAGTGAGCAGGGGGAGAGAGAGAAACATAGATGTGAGAGACACATTGATTGGTTGCCTCCTGCATACTCCCCAACCAGGACCAAGCATCAAACCTGCACCCCAGATACGTGCCCTTGACTGGGAATTGAACCCTCAACCCTTTGGTCCGCGGGCTGATCGGCCAGGACCCCTCCACCCTTTCTTACTTCTTTCCCTTCCTCTTCTTTTCCCCCCGCCTTTTGTCTTTGCCCTTCTCTACAGCTTCCCCACTCCCAGCTCCTTCTCCGTCCCTCACCCTTGTCCCCTCTTCTCTTTTCAACCCTAATGCTGGGCCTTCTAAGGAACAGACCGCGCTGGCTCTTATGCAGAAATATACCAAGTCTTCAAAGTATTTATTACTTGTGATGGGAAATATTTGTTTCCCCATTTTAGTAGGCAGAGCTTCCTCATGCTGTGCCTCTCTTCCCCTTGAGAAGGGCCACAGCGTCATTTTATGTCCCGTGGACTCAGAAAGCTAGTGGATGCTGAAGGCAGAGTTAACTGTTTCCTAAAACCTGTGAGCCATGTACAGTGCACCTGTATGTTTGTTTCATGTTAGTTTGTTATATACAGAGTTAAAATGAAATAATGTTCTCAATAATAATTATAGGTTTGTATAGTCATGCTAGGCAAAGTCTGATCTTCTCTGCATAATTTATTTGATTGTTTTTTTTCTTTCTTCAGATTCCTTTCTCATTGGTCCAGTTTCCCTTGTGGGAGTCCTTAAAAGTAAGTTTTCTGATCTTCATATAAAATGAATCTCTAATTATCATAAATATCCAATAGTTTCAGTGTGTGATAGTAGACTATAATATTGAGCAGCAGTTTAAAAACTCAAAATTATTAAGAGTTGAAAATATTGTTTATGTGTGATTTACATGCCATTCAGTCTTTTAACTTGTTCAGGTGTCTGTGGTACTGAGAAATAATCATAACAGCATAACCGAAATTCTCAAATGTTAAGGAAAAACTGCTTTACTTTCTTTGGTATTGAACTACTTTTCTACCCAGTAGAATTTTATTTCACTTCACTCTGTGTGTGTGTGTGTGTGTGTGTGTGTGTGTGTGTGTGTGTCTAGAAGTTAAGGAGTGATGATGAGGGTACATGAGAAAGGAAAGAAGGAAGGCCCTATTAGACCAGCTCCCCGCCACCCCCCAGTCTAGCAGTGGGCAGCAGGGGCATGCTACTCTGTCCCTTTCCTCTGCTGATCACCCCACTAGGCCTGGGAACCCCCACTGAGAAGAAGCAGTCTCCAGAGTTGTGAGTCAGCCTAGGGGAAGGTCACTCATTTGTTTAAAAACAAACAAATGAATTTTTTTTATTTTATTTTATTTTATTTTATTTTATCCTCACCCGAGGACATTTTCCCATTTTTTGTTCAGGTAGAGTGGGAGGGAGAGAGAGGAACAGAGAGAGAGAGAGAAACATCGATGTGAAAGGAACACATCGAGTGGCTGCCACCCGCACAACCGACCAGGGCCGGGGACAAACTGCAACCGAGGTACGCGCCCTTAGTGGGAACCGAACCCGGGTCTCTCAGGACCGCAGGCCGATGCTCTAACCGCTGAGCCAAACCGGCCAGGGCCAAACAAATGAATTTTTAAAAACCTGGGTTCAAATATGCAGACATGTTTGTTGTTCACCTTCTGATGCGATAATTTAAAAAATTGTGGCTCATGATATGAATTATGTGGGTGTCTGCTAGCATTTTACAGACTGTAATAAAAAGAAAATTATTAAGCCCTGGCCGATTTGGCTCAGCGGTTAGAGCATCAGCCTGCGGTCCAGAGAGACCTGGTTTCGGTTCCCGCTAAGGGCATGTACCTCAGTTGCAGTTTGTTTGTCCCCGGCCCTGGTTGGGTTGTGCGGGTGGCAACCACTCGATGTGTCCCTTTCACGTCGATGTTTCTCTGTCTCTCTCTCCTCTCTCTCCCCCCCTCTCCCCTTCCCACTCTATCTGAACAAAAAATGGAAAAATGTCCTCGGGTGAGGATTAAAAAAAAGAAAATTATTAATAGAGAACATCTTATGTGGTAAGGATAAGTCTTATTTTGTAAACTGTGGTGTTGTGCGTGCATGTACACACACCTCTGTACTAGATTACATTGTAAATGTATTTCTCACTGTGGATAATGAGCAAAAGGATTTGAAAGCCCTTATTCAAGTGAAAATGATTGATAAATGACCAAACTGTAAAATGGTAAAGTGTCTCAGTAGACATTTGATAAGACAAAAAATAGAGGAATTACTACCGTTGTTGTGTGGAATCAGTAATCATAGTGTGCTCATGTAAAATGTTTCTTGAAGAATAACAAAAATTATCTGGACTTTAAAAAATATTCTGTGGGGGTTAGAATAATGAAATGAGACAAAACATTAATCACAAAAAATAAACTCTGGAATATTAAGTATTGAGAAGTAGTTCCTATAAGATATCTGATTTTAAAAAATAGTCCAGTTTATTTAATATATATATGTTTTGGGGTCTTTCATGGTTGTTGTTTTGTTTTTATCATTTTCTTCATGGTGCTTGGTGAAGTAGATCTCTCAGGCAGGGTTCCGGGCTTGATGTCACAGCTACCCAATGAGAAGGTCACATTCCGGGAGCATAGCAGCGCCCGTTTCTGTGTGACAGCAGGACAGTGCAGCCAGCAGCTGTCCCGCACACAAGACCCACTTCATCAGTGTCTCAATGACCAGCATTCACTGCGCCCTAACATCCTGGGCCTGGCTCTGCAGAGGAATGTTTTCAGGCCCAAAGAGCGGAAAGCATGGGCTGCATTTCTTTAAGGACATTTGTAGTACTCTAGCTAGTGAAGAAACGCTTAGGGTTTTTCAGAGTAATCATAGATAACAATGTTGAGCTTTAACAGTTTTCTTTGAGCAAATGTAAAGATGCTGTAGTTGTTTTTTTTAAAGTTGATTTTATTGAGGAATACTTTTCAGATAGGAAAATTCAACCTTTATAAGTATGCATTTTTATACGTTTTGGTGTTTATTACTGCCACCATAACCAAAACATGTATAGAATATTTACAGTTTTCTCTTTTCCAGAATACCATATAAATAGAAGCACACACTGTGTAGCATTTTGAGCCTGGCTCTTCACCTAATACGATGCTGTTGAAATTTATTTATGTTTCGGCCTGTACCAGCAGTTTGTTCCTCTCTGTCACTGAGTAGTGTTTCGTCATGTGGATGTAGTAGTTTATCTGCTCACTAGTTAAGGCACATTTGAGTTCTTTCCTGTTTTTTTATGATTATAAATAAAGCTGCTCATAAATATTTGCATATAGGTATTTTTATGGACATATGTTTTTGTTTCTCTTGGGTTAGTACCTAGTAGCGGGGTTGGTGGGTCATAGGAAAAGTGTAAGTATAGTTGTGTAGGAAACTGAAAGTGTTTTCCAAGTGGCTGAACCATTTCACACCAGTGCAGGAGAGCTCCAGTCCTCCGCACCCGTGGCATTATTGCTTGTTATCAGGCTCTAAAAAATGTAACCATTCTAAGAGATGTGTACTGGTATCTCATTGTGGTTTTACATTGCAATTCTCTCATGGTTAAATAATGTTGAGCATCCTTTTATATAATAGTGTTTTTACAAAAAACATCTAAATGTGAAATCATAGTGCTTTTTAGAAGTAGACAATTTTTGGCACTTCTTTTATTTTTGTGTTTATGATTTTATCCATTTCAGTTTGCTTTTGCAACCACAGAAAGATTGTATTGTGTGAAGGGTTTCTCCGTTATGTTTATGTGGAAAGACTATTCAGGCAGATTGTCTGGCCTCCTTTTTATCAGATTCTTATTTGCCTGGACTAAGTTAACAGTTGCTCTACTTTCTCATCCATTCTACACATTGAATTTGTGTGATCTTTCTTAAACATCTTTGAAGTTATCAGAAATGTACAACTTCCCAGAGCTCGTAACTCATGAAGTTGCTGCACCCAAGGATGCCCACACTGTGTTCTGCCTGGTTTTCCAGCTCCCCTCCCCTTGTGCCTGAGTAGGCACCTCATTGCCCCTGTTGTTGTCTCCTTTCTGAAATGTGCTTCTGTGGGTCCAAATACCATGCATCTTTTTAAGCCAGTGCAGAGTTTCTTTTCCTCCTGCTTAAAGTCTTTTAATTCAGGATCTGAAGATTTACCCTTACTAACTTAGCATTTATCTGTATTGCTGATTGGTATTTAATTATGCACTGTATTGTGTTTAAAACATCTTAGAACGAAGTCTTTAACATATTCAGACAAGGCCTCAACTCCTGTCACTTACAGAGGAGTGACACCTGCACTCAGCCTATGAAGTGTGCTTCCTGAGCCAGCCAGTTCCCTCCCACGGCCGTGCAGAGGAGGGCGTAGCTGACGCCTGGAGCATCTGTCTGCCAGAGCCCACACGCAGGCCCCCCACATCATGTCAGTGCACTACCTCGTTTCTTATGTAGTTTTATAGCACATGTACTTACAAAAAAGATTGTACTAGATACCATAAAGAGGATGGGAAGTAAGAGGAGCAGATTATCATACCCAGAATTTCCGAGAAGATGATTATCCTTTATGATTATGTTGAATTTGGAACTTTCTGGCAGCCCAGCAAGAAGAGAAACGTGGTAGATTACATGTTTCTCATTACCTGATAGAGACCCATACATAGCTTCTTACTTCATCTTGTCCCTTGACTTTGGATGCCATCTTTATATGGATGATGAGCACATGTGTAGCTCTACCATGGACCACCTCCTCTGAGTCACAGCCTAATCCCACCAGCTTCCTAGCAGACACCTCACTCAGATGCATTGGGGTACCCAGTTCAGAACAGAGCTCCTGGTGTTTGATCTCCTTCTCCTCACCCTGCTTCTTCCCAGTTGCTCCCTTCTTAGTAAGTAGCACAACTATGTGCTTCCTAAAGTGGAAACCAAGAGTTATTCCACAGTTCTCCTTTTCCTGCATCCCTCACCATCCAACCCATCAGTAAGTCCTCTAACTCTCCTGCTCGAATCGGTACGTTGGCCTCTCAGATGGCCTCCTGAGTTTATTCTTCTTCTCTAAAATATCTTCTCTTCACAGCAGCCACAGTGGTCGTTTAAAGAAACAAACCAGGTCGTACCACCAACTGCTAAAACCCTTCAGTGACATCTTTTTGAAAGACGAATAAAATCGAGTTTAAACTATGACTGACATCTGGCCCCTCTTATCTCACTAACCTTATCCCAAGGTCCCCTCCTGCCACACTCAAGCCACAGTGTGTGTCCACTGACTGCACTGAGCCCTGCTAGCCTCCCTCTGTCCTTTTTGAACTCACCAAGCTGGTACTTAGCCCAGGGCCTTTGCATTTGTTATGCCCTCTGCCAGAAATGTACTTTATTTTTTCATTCTATGTATCATTACTGAGTGCCTACTATGGGCCAGGAATTTTCTAGGGTCTGGAGATAGAGTGATGAAGAGGACTGACAAAAATCCCTTCCCTCGTTGAACTTTTATTCTAGCTCTTTCCCTAGGCTTTTCTCACATCTAACACTTTGTCATTACCCAGACCTTAGATCGCGTCACCTCAGAAGGCATTCCCTGTCCACCCCTTTTTAGAGTAGCACCTTCCCTTCTTCCCTCCTCAGTAATCACAGCACCTGTTTATTTCCTCCCTAGTGTTTTAATAAAAAGTTTATTTAGTTATGCACGTATTGTCACATGAATACTTATAAAAATCAGATGTATCTGGAGCAGACAGTATGTG